AGCTTTAGATCATCAGCAAATAAGAGCGATGGTACCTAAAGTTCTCCTGGCAAGTTATTCAAGTAGAATGAGAACAAGAGTGGACCTAGGACAGAGCCTTGCGGAACGCCGTTAAGGACAGCTTGTCGAAACGAAAAACTGCTTCCCACACGAATACACTATTCTCGTCCATCCAGAAAAGCTGACACCCATTGGAGAGCGCGAGCAGATATTTCATAAGACCTCAACTTCAGTGAGAGTCGCGAATGGGGGACAGTGTCAAAGGCCTTGGCGAAGTCAATGAACACCACATCCACCGCATGTCCACTGTCTACGGATTCAGCCCAGCTCTCACGAGCTACCAGCAAGTTCGTCTGACACGAAAATCCTTTGCGAAAACCATGTTGCTCGACGCTAAGCAGGTTAAGTCTATTCAAATGGTTCTCCACTGTATCTCGTACTAATTTTTCAAGTAACTTAACGACCACGCTAGTCAAACTGACAGGCCTGTAATTAGCCGGTAGGTCTTTGTCACCGCACTTGAAAATCGGGCAGACAACAGCCTCCTTCCATTCGGTAGGCAAGATACAGCTGCTGAGTGACTTCTGAAACACACAAGTCAGAGGTCCACTGAGTTCCCCTGCCAATTCGTGCAACAATTTTGGATGGACAGAATCTTGCTCGGAAGCCTTAGTTGGGTCCACCTCTTTTAGCAACCGGAGAACTTGGGACTCCGTTACAGGAATTTCATCCAGACAACAGTCCTCAGGGACTCTTGGAGCTAACTCTTTACATGGCGTATTTGTCTCGCGGACAAAGTCGCTTGAGTACTGCTTACCAAGCACGCATGCCTTGTCATAGTCTCTATAGGCATGGGTCCCATCTCCTCGAAGCAATGGTGGAATAGGCGAGTTTGCACCACAGCGTCGTTTAACGTAAGCGGAGAATCTCTTGGGATTTTTCGAAGCAGTATTAGCTAAGCCCTTTTCATACTGAAGCCGGGCCAACCTAAGATGTAGTTTGAACTCATTTCGAACCAACCGATACCAGTCAAACGTGCTGTTCGACGGAGCTGTTCGATACGCTCGCCAGCATCTAGACCGCTTCTTTAGCAGGCCCTTCCCCGCGGAATCTATCCACGGAGGATGCGCTCTCGATTCCCTTCTTTTCACCAGTGGGATGTGAGGTGCAGAAATGTCGACGAGATGGGCCTTAAGCTTTTCCCAGGCTAGGTGAACAGTGTCGGTCTCAGATATCACACAAGGCGATGACCTAGCTTCATCCCGCATCGCTTGGAAGTCCGCGGCCCAAATGTTCGGATACCAACTGGTAGTAGCTTGGCAAGGCCTGATAAGGGTACACTGGAAAGACAAGCAAACGTGATCGCTAGCGCTAAGAGACGAGTCGTATTTGATGTCATTTACAAAGTCAAGTGACTTAGCAAAAACAAGATCCAAAATGGACGGCTGCTGATTGCGCATGTACCTAGTGAGGAGGTCCACGAAATGGTGTAGCGGTACCTGCAGCGTTAAGTCCAGCAGTTCTGTACTGAACGATCCCAGCGCCGAACTGCAAGATAGATCATCCCAACAAACCTCTGGGAGGTTGAAGTCTCCCAGCACCAGACACTTGTTCGCAGAGTGAGTGCGTATAAACTCTATGATTCCATTTGAGGTGCTCATAGGGCTTCTATACACTAACACGACCGTAACCTGAACCGAGGAAGCGCAAATCAATACTGCGAGTGCCTCAACAGATTTGTCGAGAGACTGAAAAACGCTGGTCCTCAGTACGTCGATGTGATAACTCACATAAAGAGCTACACCACCCCTTGATGGCCAATGGAGCGGTCAGCGCGGAACAATGCGTAGCCAGGCAGATATACTTCGCCATCTGTGATTTCCTCAGACAGCCACGTTTCAGTGAAAGCAAGTATATCTGGACGAGATTTGTCTACGAGCAGAACCCGTCGGAGGGTGACATGGCACACACCAGCCTCGGACGCAAATCGATCACATTGCGATCAGTTACCCCTGGAGAGGATGCGTTCAAAACTGTAGCTCAATTTGGGGCACGAGCGTGGGCTCTGACAACGCACTTGTTTGCGCCGACCGCTGGATGCGTTTCGGTGGACGTCTGCAACGACACTGTGAGCAAATAGACAATAGCCAAGTGGCGAAGTCAATTGTTTTGAATACATATCAAAGTACGCTGGCATCTGACCTGAGTACTTGCTCACTGAACACCGTCGAAGATCACTGGTCACAGAACCGTCAGACATCATTAGCAGCAAACATGTCTTGATGTGGCAAACCAAATTGCCAACTTGGACATTGCGTCTCTACACAGCATCTGGAATTATGTATGATCGCTGACGCGCTCCGACTGGAAGCGAATCCAATGAGACTCGCAAAGCTTTCAGGGCGAAACTATATGCTAGTCTGAAGAGAGACCGCGAAGCCTGGTGGTCTCATCGTGCCTAGGAGATGGAAACAGCCGCTGCGTTTGGTAACCATATGGCGTTATTCCGTTTGCTATGAGAAACAAGCAGCAGGAAACCTGGTGTTGGCGAGACCATACGCGACGAGAGTGGAAAGCCGATCCACAACTTGTCAGAGTGCTTGGAGCGTTGGGCCGAACATTTTGAAAAGCAGTTTAATCAGTTAGAGTAGTCAGCTTTTTCTTCGGCCCATGAGCGCCTTACTCAATGGGCCGTTCCCTTGGATGCGCCCTCGCGCGCAGAAATCGAAGGTGAGATCAGACGGCTGAAAATGAACAAAGCAGCGGGAGCAGATGGACTTCATCCAGCCTTCTTCAAATTTAGGGGAACTGCTCTCTTGGACGATTTACATAACTTACTAGTGAATCCAACGGAGCAGGAGACTGTCCCAACAGACAGGAGCCGCTTCGTCATAGTTCCAATTGCCAACGGAGGCTCCTGTACCGAATGCGTCAGCCATAGAGGAATCAGTCTGACCACCATTACCTCAAAGTTACTTGCCTCGGTCTTCCCAAAAAGAGTAAGTGGCCCCCGTGAAAGCCGGATGCGCAAGGTGCAAGTCGGGTTTTGTCGAAATGGAGGTTGCATTGACCACATCTTCACATTACGTCAGTTGTTAGAGCACCGTTGTCGTGTTTCGCGACATAGAAGGTATCTTCGATTCGGCTGATCGATGTGCGCCTTGGGACTGTTTGCTGAAGTAAGGTGTGCCCGATAAATAGGCAAAATTTATCAGAGCGCTGTATGCGCATAGTGAGAGAGAGAGTGAGGGTTTACAGTAAGACGTCGCCGCCCTTCAGTATCTTTAGCGGTTTGAGACAAGGTTGCCCGCTGTCCCCCTTCCTCTTCAACTTCGCCATTGACGGAGTCATGGAAACGGCGTTCGCCAGGCACGATTTATAAGGTGAAGTTGCTCCAAAATGAACGACTTCTTGACTTCGTATGCTGACGACATTGCGTTCATCTGTGACAGCTCCCCGTGGCAAGTTGCGCTAGATAAATTAGCACTGTCTGTTAGTCGTTTTGGGCCATGCATTGCACCATCGAAATGCAAAGTTTTTCTCCAAGATTGGCAGGGACCCACTTCTGCGCTGGCCCTTGGTGTTGATTAGATAGAATTCGTCGAAAAATTTAAGTATCTGGACAGCTATATTAGCGCCAGTGGAAAGAAAGATGAGATCACAAACCGTATAGTAAAAGCTCTAGGTGCTTTTGCTAACCGCCAACGTTTGTGGTACCGGCGTGACAGTACCCTCGCGCTGCAGCCGTCCGCATAACCCTCCTGTACGGTTGCGAAACTTGGACCATCAAGTCGACAGACATAAAGTGGTTAGTCAGGTTCGATCATCGCTGCCTTCAGAGTTTAGTTCATGTCTGGTGGGAACACCGCGTGACTAATGAGCATGTTCGGCACCGCGGATGTGGTGCAGGAAAAGCGAGTGAACCGTCCGGCAGCGTTAAATCACGCACCAGGCTAAAGTGGTTGGGCTACGAGTTGCGCATGCCTGCACACGGACTCGCGCATCTCGCGTTGTTTGCGTGTCCGACGTCTGGATGGAAGAGAGGACGCCAAGCGATGACTTAGTCAAGAAGAATGAAGTCCCTCACTTCGAAATTGGCGTCACTTGGTGTTCTTCGACTGCCAGGCTTGGGTCCGAAGGACGATGAACATGCTTGGTTTGATACACTAGCTGACATGGCGAGGAGCAGACCTCAATGGCGTTTATATTGTGAGTCTCTTTGTCCATCCCCTCACCTTTAGTATTCCCTTCCAACAACGATCTCAAATGTGATATTTAGCATTGTCAATATTTTTAGATTTTTGGCTGCATTGTTTAATCTTTTATCCTTTTCGCATTGCGGCACATTAGCTGAGGTGTGTTTCTCACCCTCGGCTAACGTATGTTATTGTTGATGATGATGATAAATCGCCCCAATGTCTCATGTCGACCAGGTGGAAGTAGAACTGACAATGGTACTGGTGCCGCATAGGAAAACCCAGAGTAAACTGCGCCTTCCAGTAGGATGGGAAAGAACCGGCACCATCCAACCGCAATAAATCGCTCCGGAGACAAGTAGACTGAAAGATGTTCAAAAAGTAGGGCGGCATCAGAAACCTGTCCGAGCTGGATCACCGAATGACAGACATTGTGACAGATGAACATAGCACAACTGATGCAAAAGCCTGGTGCCTTATTGCGAGTAAAAGGTTTTCAGTTACGCGGCTGTTCTATATTCGCTGAACTTGTGAACAGTTATTTTTCATTCGTCTTCTAGTCTATAGCAGGATAGGAATGTTGCTGGATATTATTTTAATGGGTTGCGTAAGGACAAAGCTTCCTGCCAAAAAATTTCAACTCGACCTGTGGCTGTTGCTAATTTCCTAAGCCACTGAAAACGAGCATCGAAAGAAATTTCACCTGTAACCACAAAGAATCAAACGTTTAAAATTCAGGCCGGGGTATTTTCATTCATAAAATCGTCGCAAGGATAGTCGTTAGTGAAATCCCTTTCCATGTGAACCCAGCGCTGAATGAATCTTGCCTTAAGTGTCAAATCCCCTCAAACCAACGCTTTTGATTGTGACAAGAAAATTCACTTTCAAACGACGACAAAGGTCAGAAGATGCCACCACCAAGTATAGGCCACAGTTGTTGACGAAAAAAATGTCTGCGTGGGCTAGAACAAGAAATGAGAACGGCGAAACTTTTCTTGACCGTGATATGTATACATACCTGGGAATCGGACGATTTAAATACGCCGTAGCAAAAAAACATTTGCCAAGTGGTGCACCGGTACAGATGCGTTGGAAAAAACACGTATCAAATGTGAATGCGGGTGATCGTCTCAAGCCGAGAAAGGCAAAAAACTGGACTAATATTGGCTTATTGATACAGCTGGTGAAATGTAATGGGTCAGTCACCGGGTAATGTGTATAATGTGTTCAAGATTGTCGGCCAGTCCACGCAAGTGCGTTGTAAGACATAGTAGTTATCAACAAAACAGGATGAACACTTAGTTGTGTAAAAAGTTCTGGATCCCAAAAGCACGACTTTCAAAAAGGCATTAGCAGAGACAAAAATAAAGCGGAACGTTGGTAACAAATTGACTTCAGGCATTTCACAAAAGTTTGAACTGGGACAAAAGATATACAAATGCATAACCACTGTGTGTGTGTGTGGGTGTGTAGAGTTAGGGTTAACCAAGGTCTACTTGCTGGTGTTCAATTTCTAAAGGGCGTGAGGTTTGTAATGAGCCATTCGCACCGCTCAGGAAGTGGTTGAAATTTAAACGTAGGAGTAGTTGGTTCAAATCAGCCTCTGAACCCGAAGGATGACCAGACCACTTAGCGCCAAATTCCAAACCAACGCCGCTCTTAGCTCCAGCAGACTCTGAGCTACTCAAACAACGAAACAAGGAAAGCAACAGTTGCTGGAACTCAAAAAAGAGACGTTCTTCCAAAGTCGATAATCCATGGTATGGGTCAGCAGATGAAGATGAGGCGGCCGAAACGAATTGACGACAAATCGACAGTAGGCGCATAATGCAGGGATTTGCCGTTGGATGAAACAACAGAGTCTGGGCTTGGAGGCCAGCCACATAAGCCTCGTGCACGGCAAGCACAGAGTACGCCTCTTGATCCGATTGAATGCGATCCATCAGGTGCCGAAACTGCGATTCGATCACGTCCACCTGATTGGGAGGAGGGAGAAGGGAGGAAATCAGAGAGGCTGCAATGTGACTACGTCCGAATAAAACGAAAGGCTAGACGGAAAGTGAGTGCAGTTTTAACCACTATCCACTGCGACACGGATGAGTGTAAGGGCTAAGTAGAGCTTTGGGATATTGTAGAGATGAAGGTACAAATCGCAAGACAGAAACCAGATAGAACAATAAATTGAGACATGTGGATGGCTGTAGAATGCGATGAAAGTTAGGTTGGGCTAATGACGCGAGGAATTTCACAACAAAAGAGAAAATCTGACGAAGAGGTATATAACTAGCCGTTTGTTATCCGACCGTTGCAACCAGACTGGACTTTACCGTATTGTGACGGTTTGCGTACCACGTGGACCCATTGAGCTATACTGAGCGGAGCCAATGGGCCGCTTAAGAGCTATTCCTACCAAACGAAGGCAGTCTTCTGTTTTTCAGGTTGAAGTTTTGAAATGGGATGGCGCCGATTGCTGTAAATCCGAATTGTTGCCACATCCGCTGCCTTGCAGACAGATTTTTGAGGTACTTTGGTTGAGAACCCTAATCGTACGGGTGCCCTGGCAGTATCTCAGCAAACACGAACCAGTCGGAATACAGGAGGAAACTCCCGACTGGCTTTGAGTACAATGTAACTAAGCGGACTATTAGGTGCGAACTAAAGCGGAGACTACATGCTGACAAGGATGCCTGGTGGATCAGTCAGGCTTAAGAAATGGAGGACGCGGGAGCAGTAGGCAATTATCGCAAGCTCTTCCAGCTGGTCAGCACCACTGGTAAAAGAAAACCAGGTGACAGCGAGATAAACAGAGACAGCGCTGGTGCCATGATTCACAATAAGGGGCGACGTACGGTTCATTGGGCGGAGCACTTTCGAGAGAAGTTCAATTGGCCCCCTGTTTCTGGACCTTTTCCTACTCAGGCGTTGCAGACTTAGTCATGGCCAGTTGGTTTAAAGACTCCGATTGAGGATGAGGTCCGAAACGCGATTGCAGCCTTTAATGGTTTTCGTGCTGTTCGTCCGTAATCCCTCGCACTTGCACTATTTAAGGATGGTGGTAAGTTCACCTGAAAAGCACGTATTTCCTCCTTTGAACGGGTCTAGAAGGCAGAGGCCATCCCAGCTAACTGGAGTAAATCAATTATAGTGGCGATATACAAGAAGCGGATTCGCACTGACTGTACTAATCACAGGGGTATTAGGCTATAGCCGGTGGTGACAAAATTACTAGTCTCGATTCTCGTTCATCGCCTTTAATGCGGAGCGAAAACCACAGATTAGACAAGAGAAGACAGGCCTCCGCTCAGAACGGCGCTGCATAAACGATATATCCACTCTGCGACAGGTGCTAGAGCAGTGCCACACGTATCGCAGACCGACAATAGCTGTGTTTCTAGACTTCAAGTGTTGGACTCAGTTGATCGATGCAATCTGTTCGAAATACTTGTGTGGAAAATTAGTCTCATGAAATATGTGAGCATTTTACGTGCACTGCCTTCGAACACGACTGGCCACGTCAGGGTCTATGGTGAATTGTCAGATGCCACTCCGACAAGTGGCGTTCGTCAGGGTTGCCCAATTTCCCCAATTTTACACAACTTCGTCGTGGATCCTCCGTAGACAACCGTTGTCGAAGGCCAAAATCCAACGCAAATCGACCAAGACTCACTTCCACACAACAAGACCGCACGAACACAACCATTTTAGACCCTGCGCTTTATCAAGAGTGAAACGTCACGACGATGCCACAAATGTCTCAGATCATTGAAAGCTGATCGGGCTTTGGCAATAAAGAGCGAAATCCCTTTATCAATGGTGCCATCAGAAGAGACGCAGCTCCCAAAGTAGATGAAACTATCCACTTGTTCGATCTGCACGCCTTCAAGAATAAGCACGGAGGCAACTGGATGCCAATCCAGGTGTAGGACCTTGCTTTCCATGGGACAAAGGTCATGCCATACTTGGTAGCTTCAACTACCAAGCGGTTTACAACGAACTATATGATCCAAGCAAGCCGGACCAAGTTGATTTTCGGTACACATGCGAACTTACCGGTTACGCGTGAAGTAGAACGGAATAATTACCTATCATATCTGGACATCCTCATCATTCGCATAGAAGATGGGTTGATTAAGAAGTCCGTTTTTCGAAAATCAGCTTGGTCCGGTCAGTACTTGTATTTCGCCAGCTTCACACCAGTGCGGTACAAGCATAAACTTGTGAAGACCATAGTTAGTCGGGCCAGATGAATTTGCTCTGCCGACTGGCTGGCCGATGAACTAGCCGTACTTACAAAAACGCTGGTGGCGAACGGCTATCCACGAAGATTTATCGACAAACACAGCCAGCTGCGAGGACCGAAAGACTTGGTACACACGTTAGTCAAGAAGAAGGTTTATATACAGTTACCTTCCAGAGGTGATTTTGCCGCGCCAGACGACCAAGTGACAAATATCAGCTACGCAGGGAAGTTACTACGCTGCTCAAGTTGTTGTAATCAACCGAATCCGAAGTTTGCCAGTCCTTCAAACGAAAGAAGTGCAGCCTCCCGAGGAAAACTCACTGTGTATACCAATTCGTGTGTGATTGCAGATGAAGTTACATAGGCAGAACTGATAGAACTCTGACTTCCCGAATAAGGGAACATGTGCCGAGAAGGGTCTAACACGAAATCGCCCAAACTACCTACAACCCTCAAACCCAGTGCTCACGTAGGCCGCCGGCTTCTTTGGTAGGTAAACACCCACGGGTCTCGGGTCACCGGATACAGCGGACTTCAGCGTTCAGTTGTGTTGCGCCACGATGATCCACGCTACCCTCGGTTTTCTGAGGCAGTCGCAATAAGCCAGATGAAGCCATCTCTGTGTGTTCACAAACAATTATTGGTCAGCTTAAGACTGCCGTGGACATAGGTGTGAACTTCGTTACTCACTCTGCACCTCTAACATGTCTGGTCACACCCGATCTTAGCTATACCTAGGCATATCGGTTATTGTTAATGTTACTGAAGAGACAATACGAAAAGCTTGCACCTACCAGTGTTCGTCTTCTTTCTGCGCTTTTCAAACTTCTAAAGGGAACTAATTGCTTTTAAATTTCTTAAACAAGGCAAACTTATAAATATGGTGCAAGTCAGTCACGCGGTTACTTTGAAGAAGCTCTGTGTCAAAACACTGGAAACCATCCAGAGCACGTAATAAGATACCTTCAATCGCAAAGTTGGAGAGAAATGGGAACATGGGGCATCCATGTTGCACACCACTAGTGATGGCCAAAGGCAAAGAGAACTGACTATAAGCTCTCACGCTTCCAGACATAGTTGTGTAAAGCACGAAGTGTGTCGGTACAAATTTCGGGTACTCCATTCCTTTGCAGACAATGTCACAAAGCAGGCTGATTGACTGGATGCCCAAAATGGTGGCAATGGCAGGCTGGCGCTGCTCGAGGGGTTGGGGAGTGTAAACATGCGGTCCACACACACACGACCGGGGCGGAAACCAGCTTATTCCTCACGGGGTTATAGCTCTCCAATCGGTGTTAGTCTGCGCAGTAGAATAAATGTTAGCAATTTGGATGCGACGGACATTAGACCAATTCCTCTGTGGTTGGCGCATGAGATACGAACGCCCATTTTGAAGATGCGTATGATAATCGACTCGCTCCAAGAGGATGGAACGTTTCCTTCACTTAGATCTTGGAGAACAGAGCTACTAACTGGTTGACAATAGCCACGCCATCATACTTGAACAGCTCCGGAGGAAGTCCGTCTAAGCCAGCAGCTTTGAATCGCTTCAAGTGACGAAGCTCAAGACAGAACTCCGTTACGGTAGGTGGTTCCAGCGAAGAGTTCCAACCTATGCAATTAGGCACACTCGTTAGACAACCAGAATGAGGAGGCCAACTGAACTGAGAGTTGAAGTGCTCAGCTCAGCAGTCCATGCATCTACGCAAATTAGTGATTGGTGATCCATCAGCCTCGTAAATAGCTTCATTGACGACAGATCTTCTGTGGTCAATGGTGCGAAAGAACAGGAAAAACTTGCGAAAATTTCCAGAGTGCTGCTATCTCCATCTCCGAAGCGTCCTAAGATCACCAAAGTTAAACTTGGTGATTTCTTAGGAACGCTTCGGAGATGGAGATAGCAGCACTCTGGAAATTTTCGCAAGTTATGTCCTGTTCTATTCGCAACCATATGACCACAGAAGATCTGTTCGTTCCAATGAAGCTATTTACGAGGCTGATGGAATCACCAATCACTAATTTGCTGTAGATGCATGGACTTGCTGAGTCTGAGCACATCAACTCTCAGTTCAAGTTGGCCCTCCTCAGTTCTGGGTGTCTAAACGAGTGTGCACTAATTGGCAATAGGTTCGGAACTCTTACGGCTGGAACACACCTACCGAAACGGGAGTTCTGTCTTGAGCTTTCGTCACTTGAAGCGATTCAAAGATGCGGGGTGGGTGGGGGGGGGGTGAGGGGGGGCGGAGGCTTAGACAGACTTAGCCTCCGGAGCTGTTCAAGTATGATGGCGTGGCTAGTGTCAACCAGTTAGTATGCTCTGTTCTCCAAGATCTAAGTGAAGGAAACGTTCCATTCCTCTTGGAGCGAGTCGATTATCCTACGCATCTTCAAATTGGGCGTTCGTATCTTCAGGCGCCAACCACAGAGGAATTGGTCTAATTTGTCCGTCGGCATCCCAAAATGCTAACATATATTCCTACATGGCGCAGACTAACATCCGATTGAGAGGCTAATAACCCCGTGAGGAATAAGCTGGTTTCCGCCCGGACGTTGTGTGTGTGGACCGCATGTTTACACTCCCCAACCCCTCGGAAAGGCAGCGCCAGCCGCGCCATTGCCACCATTTTGGGCAGTCCCAGTCAATTCAGCCTGCTTTGTGACATTGTCTGCAAAGGAATGGAGTACCCGAAATTTGTATCCGACACACTTCGTGCTTTACACAACTATGTCTGGTATGGCGTGAGCAGCTTATAGTCAGTTTCTCTTGCCTTTGGCCATCACTGTGGTGTGCAACATGGATGCCCCATGTTCCCATTTCTCTCCAACTTTGCGATTGAAGGTATCTTATTAAGTGCTCTTGGATGGTTTCCAGTGTTTTGACACAGAGCTTCTTCAAAGTAACCGCGTGACTGACTTGCACCAAATATAGTAAGTTTGCCTTGTTTAAGAAATTTAAAAGCAAATTAGTTCCCTTTAGAAGTTTGAAAAGGCGCAGAAAGAAGGACGAACACTGGTAGGTGCAAGCTTTTCGTATTGTCTCTTCCAGTAGCATTAACAATAACCCATATGCCTAGGTATAGCTAAAGATCGGGTGTGACCAGACATGTTAGAGGTGGAGTGAGATAACGAAGTTCACACCCTATGTCCACGGCAGTCTTAAGCTGACCAATAATTGTTTGTGAACACACAGAGATGGCTTCATCAGGCTTATTGCGACTGCCTCAGAAACCGAGGTAGCGTGGATCATCGTGACGCAACACAACAACTGAACGCTGAAGTCCGCTGTATCCGGTGACCCGAGACCCGTGGTGTTTTACTACCAAAGAAGCCGGCGGCCTACGCGAGCACCATGGTTGATGGGTGTAGGGAGTTTATGCGATTTCATGCTGGACCCATCTCAGCACATGTTCCCTTATTGGGGAAATCAGAGTTCTGTCAGTTCTGCCTATGTAACTGCTTTCGCAATCACACACTAATTGGTATACACAGTGTGAGTTTTCCTCGGGAGGCTGCACTTCTTTCGTTTGAAGGACTGGCAAACTTCGGATTCGGTGATTACAACAACTTGAGCAGCGTAGTAACTTCCCTGCGTAGCTGATATTTGTTCACTTGGTCGTCTGGCGCGGCAAAATCACCTCTGGAAGGTAACTGTATATAACCTTCTCTGACTAACGTGTGTACCAAGTCTTTCGGTCCTCGCAGCTGGCTGTGTTTGTCGATAAAATCGTCGATAGGATTAGTCCGTTCGCCACCAGCGATTTCGTAAGTTACGGCTAGTGTTCATCGGCCAGCCAGTCGGCAGAGCAAATACATGCTGGCCGGACAAACTATGGTCTTCACAAGTGTTATGCTTGGTACCGCACCTGGTGTGAAGCTGGCGGAAATACATAGTACATGACCGGACCAAGTGCTGATTTTCGAAATAACGGACTTCTTAAACAACACAATTGTCTCCTCCATACTGGCTCTAGGAGACAGTTGGTCGTTGCTGTAGGGGACGGGGTGCACGGTTCTTGTGGCCGTGTTAGGATCAAAGTGTGGTTCTATGCACAAAGTTTGGAGCGGACTACGGTCCAGCCACCGCCTTGTGTGCACTTGATTCCCCGAATACAGTGTGCTGGTGTTTGCTTGTGAAGGAGTGTGGGCCGGCTCCGTTGATGAAACGTGGTTCCCATCCACATGCCTCCCGGTCTTATTCCTTTGGGTTTACACTGCATGTGAGTGTGTGGATGGAGGTGTGGGTGGTGCAGCGCAAGCCATCCATGGTCCCTCTGAATGCGCAGGCGTCCTGTGGCTGACCACATTGACATGCAAATCCGAAACCGGATGCCGCCAACCATATATGCCTCATACTGAACTTGATGTTGCATTCACGATACTTCTTCACTACAGTTAGGCTGAGCCAACTTAAACCAGATCTGTTTACTATGGACAAAATTAATTTCACTTTATTTGGCACGTTCAGTTCTATTATTCTTCCACATGTTCTGGGTCTTTTTTGCGTGTTTTTTCCTCATTAACTTCTATGTTAGTTTTTTTGATATCCCCAATATGGCTGCTCTTGATGTGAATGATGACTAGGTGCCTACCTGTCGAACACCCCCACCTCGATTACTGGCCCCATGAGACTGAATCGTTGCTTGGGGGACGGGGTGCACTTTCTTCGTGACGGTGCTAGACTCAAAGAGTGATGCCATGCATCCAAGTCGGCCCGTAGCCTAAAGGTAACGGGCTTGTCTCGTAATCTTGCGGCGCGAGTTCGAATCCGCCTAGGACTGGGCGTCCTGACGGTATACTCAGCCCTCGTGCGACTGGTGGTGTTCGCACGGCAGCGATGCGCCGTTTTGGCGCACAGCTGACACTCATGCATCCAGATTGGAGCGGGCTACGACCCAACCACCGCCTTGTGTAATTCCGGTCCGCCTGTTCTATAAATTATACAGTAAGGAATGCTGCTGTGCATGGTAGAGGAGTGTGGACTGGTTCTGTTAATGAAATGTGGCTCCCATCCACTGGTCTTCCGGTCTTATTTCTTTGGACTTCTGCTGGATGTGGGGTATTTGGATAGAGCTGTTAGTGATGCAACCCCAATCAACCATGGTTTCTATTTAGTCGCAGGCATCCTGTTGCTGTCCTATTATTGCTACAATAACAGGGAAATCCGGAACCAGATGCCACTAATCATATGTATGAGGACGCCCTGTGTTTCCCGTCACCTGGGACCCTAGGAACAGCCCATCACCTTGCATTGCTTACCGTTCTCACTCGCTGTCTGCAGGGTTCGGGCAAATGCTTTATTGACATTTGGCTTCAAGTGTCACAAAGTAGCATTCACATGGTTCTCAACTTTTCTTCAAAGTGAAGCTGAGACTAGAGCATGTGCCTGTCCAATGGCTGATTGTTCTCATTGCGGTCGCTGCTTCCGGTGATTGCGGCGATACGAGCGTGTGTCGTGTGTGGTGAATAGGGTCACTAATAGTGGATTTCAGTTTCTCTCGGTCCGACGGATCGATATCTGGACGAATATGGGCCTTCAACCCTTCTAGCCTACCGAGGCGGACTAGTACCACTCTCGGACTCGCGTCATCTGCAGAGCCAACTTGTAGATGTTGAAACTTACCCTCCTCACTTTTTCCAAGACGGATGATTTGCTTCACCCTCAACACCTGTTCATCCACGTCGTTGATCCTGTCAATTAGGCCCTGTAGAAATTAAACCTCGTGATCATAATGAGCCTAAGGATTCATATCTGTTGACTCAGGCGCGTGAAATTTCTTAAGCTTGCAACGCCGTTTCTCCCTGTCAGTTGCTCTCTCCTTATTTCATTTGTTCGCTATTCGTCTCCTTCGTTTGAGTTATCGTACACCGGGTTGCTAATGTCCGTCGGACGCAACGCAGACACCGACTGACCAATTGGGCCTCCAGAAACAAATGGACATCGCCCCGGATAGCTCGCAGCCTGCAGGCAATTTGGCTCAGTTGTTGATGCATGGGATGAACCCACGGGGCTCATCGTCATGAAACCTTTCGCCCTTCTTACTTGCTCATGAGTTCTATGGACTGCTGATGATCGCACTTTAATCTGTTACCTTTCACAAAAAAATTTGGGCAAAATCATGCTGGATAACACGCAGAAGTTTAGATTGGTCAACAGACAAACCGATGTACGAAATATGGAAGTTTATGTGGCAAAAAATGCATATAACCGCGTTTGCGCGGTGACCAACCACTGTAGAACAGCTACTACAATGAGCCAGCTTAGCTATTTCAAAAACAGGCACCGATAGATACGGCTGAATCAAGGTAATAGAGAATCACAACAAATCCGACAAACTAGCACACCTATTTTTGATTAGGAAATTCATGATCACTAATACTACGAAATTACACACAAAAACAGAGATAAAAACGACTTTATCGGTGTAAGGGACGAAGTAAACTGGCCTGACGACGACAGGAGCAAAACGCGAGAGAGCAGATATTATAACATGCAATTCTAGCTTAGCAAATGCTTCGGTAAAGAATCATTGTCTCTCCTCGAACGCCAACTTTACGAAGGCGGATGAACTTTAGGACTACTATGGTAGTACGAGCAAACAGAGAACTGAGTGCGAAGTTGCTGCATACACACAGTACTATAAAAGATTGCATGTTTTGGGCTTTTCTCAGTTGATAGTGGGAATTAAACCAACTGTTTTGGTTCACCGCTTTTATTCTTTCACTTCGTGCTTTCTTTCTGATAACAAACGGGCTCCTCGCGAGCTTGGACATTGGGTGCAGCAACACACCATCACACTCATTTTCATCACCTATTTCATCTATCCCCGGACCCACTAACACACCTTTCTCATCTTTGATTCAGTTTCGGACCCACCACATGCTCGGCGACTCCGGCCAACGCAGCGCACTCGGATGCTTCGCGTCCCTCTCCGAGTCCGAGTACATCATCTGTCCCAGAATGTGTACGGACTCCTCATCCCATGCCCAATCCTGGCTGTTCCAATGCGTCAGCCCTATTTTCATTACTTTTAAACAACAAGAAGGACAACAACAAACCATGTGCCCAGTTGGAGGCTGACGCCTTAACCGAACCGATTCATCATACTCCTGGAGTGGTAAATTCTGCTGGCGTCGCACAGCCTGGGTCGAGCACCCCTTCCTCTTCCTCCTCTGGGTCGATACTATTCCCTGCTCCTTCCTTGACTCCGCTGCCACGTCGACTGGTCCACACTAGGCCATGTAGCAGTACCTCTCAGGTGCGTGCGTCATGGCCTGTCTTTCACCCCCATTTAGTCCCTTACCTTGTTTTACTCATCATCACCATCATCATACACTTTAGCTAGAGATGGGGAACACCTCAGCTACTGTGCCGCAATACACAGAAAAAAGGAGAAAAGAATGCAACTAGTGCAAGCCGGCTGAGCTACCGGTAGCGTATGGGCATCGTTCCGGTAAGCTACCAGCCGGCTACTGTGCATCGAAAAAAATTACTATGCAAAAGTATATAAGGCTAAATAATAAGATCGTGGTTGGAGGGGGAGGCTAAGAAGGATGGGGTGGGACAAAGAAACTCACAGCACGAACGCCACTGAGGGCGGCTCCTTGCTATGTCGGCAAGTGTATCCAACCAAACGTATTCATCGTCTTTCGGACCCCAACCAGGGAGCTGAGACGCTCCAACCGAGGCCAGCTCCGAACTGAGGGCCTTCATTCCTCTCGACCAATTCATTGCTTGGCCACCCCTCCTCTTCTTCCATCCATACCCCCAGGCGCGCAAACAATACACGTCGCGGGAGTCGGTGGGCTGGCATGCGTAACACGTGGCCGAGCCATCGGAGCCTGGTACGTGAAATGACGGTACTGAACGGTTCATTTCATTTTCCTGTGCCATTAACAAGTCGTCGAACACGCTCGTTGCTCACGTAGTGTTCCCACCAGATGTGAGCTAACCTACGAAGGCACCGGTGGTCGAACATAACTAGCCTCTTTATGTCCATTGCTCTAAGAGGCCAGGTTTCACAACCGTATAGAAGAGTCTAACGTACAGCTGCGTTGTACACTCTACCCTTCAGGGCATCAGTGATGTCGCGCCGGCGTCATAAGTGGCGTCATAAGTGGTTGACAAAAGTTCCCGGAGCTTTTGCTATACGGTAGGTGATCTCATCCTCAATCCCACGGGCGCTGATGCAACTTCCCATCTATTTGAATTTTTGAACGACTTCTAGCTGATTCGCACCAAGGGTCAGCGTAGGAGGCGGTCCAGACCACTCTTGGAGGAACGTTTTGCACTTCGAGGGTGCGAAGCAAAGCCCGAAGTGACGAACAGCCAGTGCTAATCTACCCGTGCATCTTGACACGTTTGTGCGCTGTCACGGATTAGGGCAATATCATCAGCATACTCTAAGTCAAGAAGTCGTTCTCCTGGGAGTAGCTCCACACCTTCTAAGTCACGTCCTGCGAACGCGATTTCCATGACTTCGTCAAAAGCGAAATTGAAGAGGAAAGGTGACAGTGGGCATTCTTGTCTCACACCGTTGGTGATATTAAGGGGCGACGACAACTTGCCGTAAGCCCTTACTCTGCCCGACCTACGAGCATATAATGCCCGGATAATATTCACATATTTCTCAGGTACACCTTTCCTGAGTAGACCGTCCCAAATTGCATGTCTATCCACCGAATCGAATGCACCTTTGATATCGAGGAGCACGACAACGGTGCGGGGCCAATATATGTGACGGTGCTCCAACAACTGACGCAATGTGAAGATGTGCTCAATGCAGTCATGACCTCGACGAAATCCAGCTTGTTCTTCACGAATCTGGCTTTCACGAGTGCCAGTCAGTCTGTGAAGGATGACAGAGGCAAGCAATTGGTAGGCGATAGAGTTCAGACTGATTCCTCTATGGTTGCTGCATTCCGATCGTGCGCTTCACTTAAAAATCGGGACTATGACGGAGCGGCTGCATTCGGTGTGGACAGTTTCCTGCTCTCACAGTTTCACTAGTAAATCGTTTGAATCATCCACAAGAGCAGGTCCCTCGAATTTGAAGTGGGCTGGAGGTAGATCATCTGGTTCCGCGGCTTTATTTAGCTTCAGCAGTGCGATCTCACGTTCGCCTTCTGAGCGAGAGGATGGATCCAAATGGACAGCCTTGGGAGCGGGGCGATCAGTGGCCGGCGAGGAACCTAACCATTCCGACCGATTAAATTGCCTTTCAAACTGCACAGCCCAAAGCTCTAAGCGTTTTGATAAGTTGTGGATAGTCTGTCCACTCTCGTCACGTATAGTTTCACCAACCCCAGGTCTTCTGCAGCCCGTTTCCCGTATCAGCCGGAATAACTTACGATGGTTACCAAGGGCAGCGGCCATTTCCATCTCTGTTTCACGATGAGACCACCAGGATTCGCGGTCTCTTTTCAGACTATCCCTGAGTTTTGCCCGGAGCTCTTTGCGAGTTTCATTGTGTTCGCTTCCAGCCGGAATATATCGGCGAGCATCTGTAAGTTCCCGAGACTGTAAAGAGACCAACTGTCCATGTTGGTGATTAGACATACCACATGAGGATTTTCCTGCTGCTAGTAATGTCTGGTGGATATGAGACCAGTGGCTTGAACTGCATCCAGTGAGCGTTTATCCAACTCGCTTGACGGCGTAGTTTGATAGGCATTCAGGACGGCTGGCTTCGCCGGTTGGCTGGTATCAATGCGCTCACAACGTCGTTGTGGGCGTCCGCCCAAGCGCATCCGCAGATCAGCACATACAAGTGCATGGTCGGTGTCCACACCTGTGCTCCAAATCGAGCGACAGTTCTGGACGCAGCCTCTCCATTGGTAACTGATTGCAATGTGATCGATTTGCGTCCATAGCTTGTTCGAGGCTGATGGGGCCAAGTCACCCTCCGGCGGGTGCTGTGTCTGAAATTAGTGCTCGCAAGAAATAAGCGAGCATTGTCACACAAATGAAGCAACCGCTCACCGTTCTCATTACGAGAGCCTACACCAAGTTGGCCGCCCAGATGCAACTCATCCGTGGATAATTTTCCAACTTAAGCCTTCAGATCCCCAACCAGCACTACAGTGTCTGAGCTTCTTCTGTGGCTAAGGAGCTCGTTCAGTTGACGATAGAAGTCGTATTTTATCGAGTCGTCGCTACAGTTTGTCGGTGCATAGGCAGCGATGACGAATGGACACCTGTTAGCCCCACGCGACTTCGAAGTTTTGAACGGGCCAGCCAATCGGACCGCACACATCCGGCTACTGATTGGAATCCAATCAACCAGAGTAGCTTCAGCCCGGGGACTCAGGGCAATACCAACACCGGCTTGGCCGGTGCTCAAAGCTGCATCGTCACTGGATAGGCGCAATGAGTAAATGCTGCTAGTGTCACCTGAAGGGGATGACAGAGTGAGCACAGAGCTCGAGTCTTGCAGGCGGGTCTACGATAAGCAGCAGATATCGATCGAGAGGGTCTCCAAGGTTCGGGCAAGTGCTGCCTGTTGACTGATCTGAAGCAATGTGCGAACATTGAGGCATGCCAATCTGAAGGAGAATCGAGGGCTCCAAATGAAAGCCGATGAACTGGAATGGGCTGCTTGCTTGGACAGGCGCCTGTTGACAGGGCAGGAATGACGCTCCGCGTTCCCATGTGAGTTGAAACTAACAGGCAAGCGACTATTGAAGCAAGCTGGGGGTGGGCCGAGAATTGGGGGGTTGAAAACAAGGTTTGAAAACTGTTCCAGTGAAGCTGCAACGGGATGATAAGGGTGAAAAAGCGCAAGAGGGGGAATAAGAAGACGGGAAGGCTTGAGCAGTGGCATCCAAACCCTTATCCACCATGCTCGATGCAGCAGATAGTGCACCGTTGATTATCCTCTGCGGTGACCAGAGCATCAGAAATTTGTTTGAAGTGAGATCCATAGTATTGCGGGGGCAGTATACTGTCAGGTTGCCCAGAGCTAGACAGGAGAACGATTAGGGTTCTCAACCAAAGCCTTTGGTTCAAAAACCTTACCGCAGAGCAGCGGGCTTGGCACTGGGCTACAAGGCGTCCGTTTTAAGGAATAAGGAGCCACCCTCATTCCAACCCCCAACCTGAAGGACCAGGAGACTGAGTTTGTCTGGCCTCTAACCATTGACCAATATGGTATGGGTGACTCTGAAGGTGCAAAAATGTACCACCCAGTATAGCTCAATGTATCACTGAGACACACAAACCATCGCACCACGCTAAGGTCCAGCCTTATTGCGATGGCTTGTTTCACTGGTCTTTTTAACAGCCGGTGTATGTAGTCACTAGTGAAACTACTACTACTTGTGTCACTAGTGATTGCATATACTGGCTGTTAAAAGCTTCCACTCTTTAAACTGGCCGCACGACGTTCCTGAATATGCATGAGGGATCCATTCGTTGCTTCCCTGTACCTTAAATCGATTGCCGTCACGATCGCCCGCATTCCTATGGGAAAGTTACTCCAAAAATACACAGCTTTACACAACGCTCCTCTGGTCCACATGCTTTGTGGTGTCATACTTTTGTCTATCCACGGCGTTGTCTTAGCCGACGACTGTCCCCAGCTGCTGTGCCTGAAACCTTGCGATCCCCACGCTGTATGCAATGTTAAGCGTATTTCACCCTATTAGAGTGCTTTGCTGCGTTATTTGTTAGGACGGGTGGGTAGCATTCAAATTTGCTCCATCCATTGTCCTACGCCTCCTGATCCTTCCACTCCTCCTAGTCACCTCATCAGCCACTGCTCAATCACGAAGCATTTTCTCTGCAGGAGGAACCCTTTTTGGACGTCTTTAGACACACCGACACTGTTTAAGCGTTGTTCTGATTCTTTTTATAGATTTCCTTTTTGTATCATTAGTCTACGTGCGGCAGGTACTGCTTTCCATATGCAGCTCTTCATTTTCATTTTATATTCCAGACTAGTCAATCTTCGCCCAGCGCACCCTCTCCCTTGGGCTTAGAGGCTCCTGTGCCTGCCACCACTGAAAGTTCTTCGTGTCATGGTGCCCGTACAGCTCGGACATCGATGGGCTCTGCTCCGCCTTATGTTACCAGGGTCGCTAGATCTATCCCGACGTTCATGGATCGCGTCCGTTTATCTCGTTTGTCCTCGGTGGTTTCTCGTTCCGGACGTTGTAGCTTCAAACTATCCTGTTCGAATCACTTGGTAATTCTACCGCTTTCATTTTACCCCGTTATCGCCGCGTCGTTTGTGTCTTTTGCCATGTTGTTTCCAAACTCATTTCGTGATTCTACGTTTCTTTTCCCCGTCACTATTAGCCCTTTAACATCAATCCACGACGCAGGTGGTTAACTGGCCCATTTTTATACTAGTCGCTGAGTAAGCATGGAAACTGGATAGCGAACTCGTGCAGTGTCCGGAGAGTCAAATTGAAAACGAGAAGCGGTCAGCAATCTGTTATTCCTAGATAAAAGTACTATCTATAAGACCTCACTTTCAATTTCTTTTCCATTTTAGTCTCTTTTTACCGACTGGTCCATGTTGTTTGAAATTTAACTGATTCGTCCCTGTAGCTTACAGGCCAGATAGTGTAACTATCAAAGTGGAAAAGCACATAACAGCCGTTTTGCTCAACTGGGGCTCCTCAGTGTTGCGCATCCTCCAACTCCATCAGGAACTTAACTCATGACCGCTAGTAGCTTATTCCACTGAGACATTGGGGAGATTTGCAGACCGCGCTTGTTTTTTCCGCCTTTAGCCATCCACTTGAGCTCGCTGGTTTGCATTCGCTATTCATTTGTTACTGCTCACTCTAGTCCACACTTACGTCGCCTGTAATCGCTTTGCACTTTTTCCACACTATTCTGCCAATTCTAGCCTGTCCTTATGATCTGCGCAATTGCTACCGACTAAATAATCATATTTATAATTATTATATTAATGGATATTTTTCATACTCCAAGTAACTATGTCTGTAGCGACACAGATCATTATGTGCAAGAGTAACCATGCTCTTCAATGGGCGATCCGCATCTACGCAACGTTAAGGTCAGCGTTTCGTATAATAACTATTTACTGGATGCTTGAACCCAAAACGAAGGTTTGGTGACGTGAATGTTTATACGTTTTTGGGCCTCTTTTGGAATAGCTCATCGTTTGATTTTCCCATATGTTAACAGCGACTCGACCCTCTGCAGTTCATTCGGTTGACAAGCCACTACCGCATTCTGTACCGTTTGGTTTGGATTATTATTGCACCTGCACTTTCGCTCGCCGTTGTGCAGACCAATCCAACTCTTCTTTGTCTCGAAGCACAACGCGCTTCGCTAGCGATGGACCGGCCAAATTCTGAATTGTTTACTCAATTGATTAATTACGGCCCACATAGGTAGTGCACATTGGTTTCCTGTCCACTGGCCACGCGCCGTTTCTGTTCGCCCGACCTACCAACTACCATCATAAAGTCAAGCTTTGCACGGTAGCCCTCGTGCCCCTTGTCGGCTCTTGCATCGTTGCTATCTGTAAGCAAAATCGCTATGTCCAGCTTCTCCAGTTGGCAGCATGCGGCTTCAGCCTCTGACACCAGCTATCCTGTATAATTATGCTGAGCATCTTCGAGTTGGGATCTAGTAGTAGTGTAACCGGCCACCTTATTCATCTAAATGCGGGACAGCGCGTTGCGCAGTTGATATTGGATCGGTCTATCTAAGGGTTTCCGGTTAGCTTCTGACGCTCGTACTATTTCTCAAGATCATTTAAACTGTAGTTTGGAGCGGCGAACATCTGCGCTTACTGTGCCGGTCACTCACAGCGAACCGAGCTCCTGATGCGTCAACAAATAAAATGCTGCTACACCAACACTCTGGGGTTGTACTCTAAGCTCTCGGAGCTGCGCCACCGACATGAAACGACAACTTGGGACCTCATAGCAATCACTGAAACTTGGCTCTCAAACGACATACTTGATCCGGAGATTGAACTCAGTGAGATGTCAGTCATACGAAATGATCGTCCATCTCGCGGGGGCGGTGTTGCTCTCTACTATCGAGATTATCTGAAATGTGAGGCACTTACCGAAAATTCCCTCGTTATTCCCGACGCACTATTTTGCCGACTGCACCTAGCAGGTCGAGATGTTGTTTCACAGAAGAAGAGTGATGCTTGCCTCTTAGCAGTTATTTATAGACCTCCGAACTCATCAGCAGACAGCGATAACATTCTGTTAAACGCCATCCGCTAAGCTGTTTCACAAAAGTACTCTCACTATCTTATAATGGGTGACTTTAATGTTCCTTCAATAGCATCAATGTCCCCTAATGGGCCATCATTTAAATCGAAACTCCTCGAATTTATGGATATGGCAGTTTTGTATAACCATGTGCATCGACCAACCAGACATCGCGGTTCAAACAAGCCATCACTCCTGGACTTAATCCTGACTAATGAAGAGTTGATGGTTGAGTCAGTAGCATACGATCCTCCACTGGGCCGTAGCGACCATTCAGTCCTAACATTTGGTTACGTATGTTATGCCAGTATTGTTGCTACAGAAAGTGAGACTCAACGAACTATTACGGACTATTATAAGCTGCGCAGCTTAGCAGCAACCGTTGACTGGGACCTACAGACGCACAGCTCAGCGAATGACGCGTGGAATGAATTGAAAGACAAAATTAACTGGGTCATACAATCAGCATCGAAGGTTGTACCATTACGAGCATCGCGCCGGACCAATACGTGGATCCGGAGCAGAACACGTAAATGGATCAACAGAAGAGATGAAATCTGGAGGCAACATTTGCTAAGCCCATGTGATATCACATGGCAGGATTACAAAGTCATAAGAAACTACTGCACGTCACTCATTAGAGTCGATAGGTACGAATGGCAGGAGAATATGGTGCTGAAATTTACGAGTAACACCAAACTGCTATACAGATTTGTGAATGGCAAAAGAAAGGTTAAGCCCGGAATACCACCACTCAGGACAGCCAATGGCCTAACAACTACTGCTGTGGATGCCGCGAATGCTCTACTCTTGCAGTTTGGCTCGGTAGCTCCAAATGTCATGGGACCTTGGCCCTATCAACTCCCAACAAATGTCGTTGGCTTATCCAGCGTCACGTTTACTCCAGCAGCTGTTGCAAGCAAACTACAGTCTCTCCGGGAGTACAGTGCCCCTGGAATCGACATGATCTGCCCAAAAGTACTAAAAACCCTTCCCCTTACCATAGCAACACCACTTGCAACCTTTTTTCAGTGTCTGCTTAACTCCAATACACTCCCATCTGAGTGGAAAAATGGAATTATCACTCCGATATATAAAGGTGGCAAGCGTTCGGATCCTGCTAACTACCAACCTATTACTCTCCTTCCTGTTTTGTCAAAAGTTATGGAATCGGTAATCGCAGATGATCTGACGCGATACTTTGAAAGTCAACTGATAATTTCTAGTGCCCAACATGGGTTCCGACGCAGACGATCTTATCTCACCAATTTGCTGATTACTCGGGAATTATGGACCAGGGCGGCTGATGAAGGAGTCCCCATAGATGTGATATACCTGGATTTTTCTAAAGCATTCGACAGGGTCAATCACTTCTTTCTCCTCCAGAAGCTTGCTGCCTACGGTATCAACGGTTCCCTGCTCACTTGGTTGGAAGACTACTTACACGACAGAGCAATCAAGGTAAGAGTAGCTGACACCTATTCCGAAAGCCTTTACGTCTCCAGTGGTGTTCCACAAGGATCCGTCCTCGGCCCGCTACTATTTTTAGTCTACATCAATGACCTTCCAGCAGACATTCTATCTCCAATGCAAATATTTGCAGACGACGCTAAAATATGGAGAGCTATTCGCTCAGCATCCGACCATGTCTACCTCCAGGAAGATCTGACCCGGATTAACGAATGGGCAGAAAAGAACCAGCTCCCACTGAACGCTGCAAAGTGCCACCTGCTGACGGTGCACAACAGCTTCGTTAACACATACTTTTTGGGGCAACATGTCATGCAACACGTGACTAGTGAACGCGACCTAGGTATAATCGTGCAAGAGAGTCTTGGAAATTCGCTCCAGTGTTCGAAAGCAGCAAGTGTAGCGAACTTGAACTTGAGACTTTTGAGGCGAGCTCTCGGCACTTTTGAGCGACAGCTAGTACCATTGTTGATTAACTCCTACATTCGTCCTCATGTTGAATATGCAATTCAGGCCTGGTGTCCATGGTTAAAACGAGACATCCGCCTCTTGGAACAGCCCCAAAGAAGAGCCACAAAAGCAACGCGTGGACTATCCGGTATAAGTTACGAAATGCGTCTTCGTGTACTCGGGGTGCTCTCATTAGAATACCGACGGCTTCGCGGTGATCTTACTCTCACATACCGGATATTAACCGAAAGCGAGCATCCATGTACATCGCTGTTGACTCTAGCCCCATACAAACAAAACCGAGGCAACCACCTGAAACTAATGACGCAACACTCTCGTTTGAATTGTAGAAAGTATTTTTTCTCACTTAGAACCTGTTCTCACTGGAATGCATTACCAAACTATGTGGTGAACGCACCAGACATGACGACATTCGAAAGACTCTTAGATTTTCATCTTAGTGATAAACGATACACAACACTTTGTTAAAGTGCAATGATTTAACCACTGATACTTTACGTTCCACGTTGGAACATTTTGATTTTAATTTTCTTTTGCATATCCATCCTGTGGGTCTTGTAAAGTTATGCTTTTTATCCCATCATACACCATTGAACCATTGAACCATTGACAAAGGTATTAGTTTTGGAACTTGTTATAGTTATCACCATCGGTCACCTGTATAGTCAGCAAACTAGATATCTTATCGGGTTTGGAAAATGCTAACGGCTTAAATTCTCAAACAAGTGGATGCTATAGTAAACACGAAACACGATGCGTATGCGTAGCACTTCGTCAAACCTTGACAACCACCGATTTACTACGGCATACAAATGCTCTTCCTAAGTTACAATCAAACATTTGTCCGTGAAATTTCAGGTTCGGTGAAATGTCAGTGCAGTTCGTTTTTGGTTTTGCAGACATTTGCGCAAAGAACCAGCAGAAATGTACGATCATCATAGAACCACTCTGTCACCTATCACAGAATGCCATACCGTCTGAATGCTATGTGTATTTGATGGCCGTTTAGACGTGGCCTTATCGTGTGCACTGCTTCAAGCATGAGACGTTTCACAGTTTCTGTACCATACACCCCTTGGCATTCCGTAGTCCATGTTATAATAATAATACGTATATTTCCCGATTGTGCGAGTCGCTGTCCCTGAATTGTGGACAGATCATGGGTACAATAACGATCATGCCC